TTTAGCACATATTGTTTAACACATTTTCGAGCAATAACTCTTGTGTTCATTACAAAGTTCTATCAATATATATTTGATCATAAGTTGAGTAGCATCTTGTAGTGTTCTTCTTCTTCATCTTCTTGTTAGCAAGTTATGAGCAACAACTTCTTTCTTCTTCTGAGATCTACCAAGATGTATATGATAATAGTTGGAGTAGAATCTTGTAGTCTTCTTCTTTATCTTTCTTTCTTTTCTCTCATTTTTGTGTAGTGGTCTTCGGCGTGTTTAGCATTGCAGCTTTGATAGCTTCAGCATCCATGACATTTCATCTTGAAGACCAAGAGGAACTTTAACTTCAAGTCTTTGATCTTCTTTTATAGCCTTGAAAGAGAGATAGATGTTGTGAGGATAAAAAAGTCTTTACCTGCATCGACGGTTAGTTCTCAACAGATAGAATAAGGTGTAAGAGTTTAGACAGTATAAAATAATATTTTCACAGCTTATCCTTTTTCAATGATAGTTTTCCACCTTTTCTCTAAATAATGTTTTTCTAATAAGCTTGCAAATAGAGATCCGTTAGTGAAAGAAAGTAATTGTGAATCCAACTATTTGTTCCTAACGATCACAACGAGAGTGGTCACAGTATAGTACGAAAGGATTGTCCTTGTGTCACTCTAGAAGAGTAGAGGTCACAAACACTTTATGTACATTTTTTACAGCACCACACGTAAACCATTTTGAACTTCTTCTTTTCTTCAGAGGCTTCAGATAATTTGAATGTTGAATGTTGAATGTTGAAGCTTGTTGTAGAAGATTCACTCTTAAATCTTAGAACCTAAGTCTTAGAGTCTTCAGAACTTGTCATATCATAACCTTGTCTTCAGCACTTGGTCGTAAGAACTTGCTTTTCTTCAAATTATCATAACTTGTTCAGCAGAGCCTCTTCTTCATAATCTTCAGAACTTGTAACACATATAAGCAACGCTTTGGAAGTCCTCAAATCTTAACCATAAAGTCACGATCAGAACCTCTTGTACTAACGTTCCTTAGACATGTTACATAAGACATATTCAGAATCTTGACTTCAACTATAACATGTAACCACATGTTTTCTTCCAGTAGTGTTTATGTTTAGAACTTGATGATGTCACATGCCTTGATACCAGAGTTAGAACATTATAGCAGTAACTACACACTATAACGAAACAATTAGAGTATACAATTGTTCTCTATGATATCATGTAAAGTTATCATCAAAATATTAAGGCCAGATGTAGAAACACTTCTTGTTCTTACAATCTCCCCCTTCTTGATGATGACAAAACCATGTATTTTGATAGAACAATTTATACAGGGTAATCACCGTAACCGGCAAATTCAGAGTCTCCCCCTGAGCCCAAGACTCATAAAACAAATTTTGATTTTTGCAGAACATAGAAATAGAGAAGGAACACTTCCGTACAACAACTCATCAGAGTCTGGCTATAGCACCTAGTCTTCATCTCAGAACATGGTTACTATCAGCACTTGATGAAGAATCAAAACTTGATTTTGAGCCTGATTGAATAATGCCATGTATCATGTATCAGCACTTCTATTTATTGATTCTAATATCACCACCAAAACACTACTTATGGAGAAGTGTACTACTTCTTAAGTATTAGCGTTTGACATGATACTTTCCAATATATCATACATTCAGACAATTCACAACTACTGAATAGAACATATGTTGCAGAAGCACACGTATCATAACACATCTTCTAAGTGGCATCTCTGTATGAGAGCATGCATCAGAATTTTGACTTGACTTTCTTTCTGGAGAGCAGCTTCTGAAGCTTTAAGTCTGATTTCCATACTTTAAGAAATTTCACAACTTCTGAACACTATGATATCAAGCAAGATTATCTTACTTTCAGTAAGTTTATAACTTTTGAATTATGTTTGGTACATCTATTTGAATATTCATATATTCACAAAGTGTACAACTTTTTATATATGAAATCAGAGTTGATTTCATCCATAAGGTTCTCAACCTTAGACATTAGGATCTTCATATTCAACCTGTCTTTAGAATACTCAATGAACTTATTCAAAGTTCTTGGATTGAAAACATCAAACACACAGTTAGCAGCAACAACATTTTATATGTTTGAGTTTAAGATTCTTAGAATAAATATTATCAAAATCATTTTACTTTCTCTTCCTTTGTCAGAAATCAAAAAAGAGATAGAGAAATGAGCTTTGTCACATAACAGATTCTCAACCGAGAATAATGCAGATGATTTAAAGTTTCTTAATTCTTTGAATTTTTCATGAAGGTTTTCTTAGAATAAGTTTTAAGTTCTATCTTGATCCATAGAGTTTTAACAGAAATGTTTGGTAAGACTAAATGGAGATTAAAATATTGAGAGAGAAAGATAAACTTTAAAGATAACAAATAATCATATAAAACTTCATTAAACACAAGGGTTTTAAAGAAAATATAATTGTCTTAGAAACATAGGAAAATAAACCTTAAGTTCTAAGATAAGGTCTAATCCTAAGACTCCTTGTTAAACTTCTCCATAAACTGCTTCATCATTTCAACCATCTGATTGAAGGAAGTTGCTCGAGCTAGACTCGTTTCCTCCTGTATTTCCACACACTCTTGAATAGTCCGATTAGATTCTTGCATCTTCTCCAAGGTTTCCCTTATCCCATGAATTTCCTTTTCCACATCCATAGCAAGCTTTACACCAGAGCACGAGGTTTGGTTTTCAACTATCACTAAAGCGGTATCAGAAGTATTGGAAGGGTGCACAACTTCTAAGCCAAGAACCACTTGTCTTGTAGGTTTTGGAGCGGGCAAACATAAGGTAGGTGAGGATAAGGATTCAAGCAAGTCTTTAAATTTTCTTTTAGCCTCTTCGCAGCAGACAGATTGCATGACATCAGAATTGACATCCATTATTCTTCTAAAGTTAATCCATGCGGCTTCAATTTTGAATGGATTCATGCTGGAAGAGGAGATACTCAAGACATTTTCAAGAGAGATTAAGGAAAGTTGTTGAAACTTTTGGAAGAGTTCATATGAGGTTAGTGGCCTGATTGAGGTTCGATAAAAGGCAGGGTTATAAGGTGTTGGTGGTAAATTGTAGGATGTGATGGAGGAAGATTAACTTGACTAGCTTCTGATTGAAAGTCAGGATGAGCACAAGAGTATGGAAGGTCATGATGGGAGCTGACAAGGAAATATAAAAAATGACGCAAGTGTACGGCATATACTTCACCGACCTCTTACTGTTGAAAATATAATAACATAGTAATATTTTTTACAAGAAAAACAACTAATAATAACTTTTTGTCATTTAATTAGTTTGATATTATTACAACTAGTAATAACTTTTTGTTATTTAATTAGTTTGATATTATGATATATATAAAAATAATTTTTTTTTATATATTGTAGATGGTGTGTTACTTATTTAGTTTAGTTTTACATTAAAAAATATATAAGGAGATTGTTTTCTGATATTTGACATGCTCGAAATGTTAGTCTTATGTATAACACGTGCTCTAAGGGTGTAGTGGATCATTTAGCCAAATGAAATTAAAGTTAGACGGGCACAATGTCACATATGGAACTGCATTTTGTCACGGCCTATCTTCCGATTATTCAAATTAATCAAGCATAAATCTTTCAATAAATTAAGGATGGTATGAATTAGTTAATTTTATAAAAAAAATTATTTTGTTTTCTTCACTTTTCTTTTCACTTTGATTTTTCCTTTCTTTGAACAATTGACTAGGTTCAATGCTAATTATAATGTAACTAACCTAAGTTTGTTCTAAACTCAAGTCCATTTTTCCATTAAATTTAACATTTTAAATTAAATGTAATTAATGTTTCTTATCAAATTATACTGATTAAAAAACACATAATTGAATAGTTATCGGATAAAACATTATTCTTAATCTTGAGCAAATCTTTACGATGAAGAGTGTAAACTAAGATTTGATGGTGAAGGTCTTAATAACTTTATACCGTTTTCTGACAATATGTATATGCAAACACTCCAATATTCAAATCAGTGAAAGATTTCAAAATTAAGATAATGTATTAGAAAAACTCAACAGAACAGTGTAAAGAATATATTTATAGAGTTTAATCAAATCAATGACGACCAAAAGTGAAAGATTTTAAAATTAGAATAGTGTAAGTAGAACTTTTATTAGGGACACGTATCTCAAGAAATTAGATGTTTTTAGTGAATTGGATGCCCACGAAATTGGATTTCCTGCCGTAAGCAAAACTGCCACAATCATACAGTCGAACCAATTTTAGCCGTTGAATCTTAATCAAACGATTTTAAAAAAACAGATTTATTTTTATATTATACTTTTTAACTACCGCTTTTAAATTAGAACCGTCTGATTTTAATCGAACGGCTACCAACACTTGAATGTGTCAATGCAGGGCCCTGACTGCAGGGAATCTCAATCTGATGTCGACCCAGTTTGGAACAGTTCCGGTTCCTGGGTTGGCTAGTTCAACAGGCTAATTAGGGCCAATTTTTAAAACACTAATAGTGGTAACATAGATTGTTCGAGGAAATTCGGTGTCAAGAGCATTTTGGTTAATGATAATAAGAATTTGAAATAATATATAGATAGAAAAACATTGATGGTTAAAGTTTATACAGACATCAATTTATAATTTATACACAACGAATGAAAAACCAAGTTCACCTGAAAGAATGAAATTAAAATGTTGTCACCTGATAAGTTGTAAGAGAATGAAATCTTATTCCAAGTGACAAACTTTACCTCTTTTACTCTAATCTCTAAATGACATTCAGCAAGCATCAAGCTTGATATCAACCAAGTAAGTTTATTCCCTACATGAGTGCTATGTCGTGGATTGTGAAGCATGGTGTCCGGTCATAAACCAGGTAAATTTTCCTATAGAAAGTTCATTCCATGTACTATCAAAACCAAATAGACAGAACCTGAAATACAAAAAATATAGGCACGTCTTAAGCATCCTTCTTCCCAGAGTTTGGAATTCCAGGGTTTGCATTCAAGATATCAATGTTGGCTTTACCAGCACACAAAGAAACAACTATATCCACAAATAATCAAATTTAGATGCTTTTATCAGACATAACCCCTGTTTAGAATGGCAGTTGTGGCTTATTTCTCGCATCCCAAAGTGACACTACTGCCATGAATTTTATGAAGACTCGGTTAGTAGCCACGGCTGAACGCACAATGATGCAGCTTGTTGCTGCAGAAACAAACATGAGCTTTACCAATCCAGATTCTATCATGAAGTCCTAAATGTAGTCAACATTCTACAGGAAAATTTCAAATCATTTTCTTACTGTAACAGGACTAACCAATATATGGTATACAATGCCCATGTTATATCAATTAATCAGTGAATTTCTCCTAAATAGCAATTTATTTGCATTTCAGGCACGGTATAATTTTAAGATCACAATAAAACCACGGTTACTTGACATCACATGCATGGAACATGGTAAACAAAAAGTTGATGCCTTTTAATCTAGAAAAGCTATTTGAATTCTTTATAAAGATGCATAGTCATTTGATATCTAGGCTCCATAAGCTATGAGCTCTTCAGATGACTGACTTCTTCCTCAAGCAGGGATTATCCTATTTTATGCACAATTTTCAATGACCGGAGGATATTACTGCCTACAATGGAGAAACAGAAAACACCTGAGGATAGTCCTACCAAAGAGGTATTCCCTCCTAACCAGTTTCTTAACAAACTTCTCAATGACCTCTACTACTCTCTCCTCTTCCTATTATATGTGTTTCTCCACTAACAGAAAGCTACCACGCCAGCATGATAATGATAAGTTGGTGCAAATGCAATGAGCCCACTAAGACCCAGGCCCCATAAGGGTGTTTTAACATAAATCATAAACCTTTTAAGCCTGGGAATTTTCTTCCTACCTTTTTTCAAATGTTTCTGTCAGCGCAAATCGTCATAATAATCTTCCTATGCTTTTACAGAATTTATAATATTTTATACTAGAAAATTTCAATGAGGAAGCACACAAAGAAACATATATTTCTACAAATATTTTGGAATTCATGGTTGCTTTCAAGATATCAATGTTGGCTTACCAGCAAACAAAGAAACATATATTTCTACAAATACTCGAATAATCAAATTTTGATGCTCTTATGTCAGAGACTTAACCCCTTGTTTAGAACTGCAGCTGCGGTGGCTGATTTCTCACATCCCAAAGTGTCACTGCCGTGAATTTTATGAAGATCCAATTAGTAGCCGCATCTGAACGCAACAAACATGTGATTTACCAATCCCGATTTTATCATAAAGTCCAGACTAAGAATTTATGACGAAGCTGAAGATTCAACGAGTCCATCAGATAATCCCCACTATTGTATGTTGATAGAACCCATAATTTCAATTAGGACAAAACTGTATATTATTTGATGAAAATGTGAGCTCAATAGCTCTACAATGGAGAAACAGATAACACCCTCTAAGACTCCAACCAGAGAGATATTCCCTCCTAACCAATTTCTTAACAAACTTCTCAATGACCTTTACCACTCTCTCCTTTTTATATTATGTGTGTTTCCCCTCTAACAGAAAGCTGTCGCACCAGCGTGATATTGATTAGATGGTGTTAGATGTGTTAAGCCCACTTAGGCCAACACCCCATTCGAGGTCCTAAAATTACCAGCCCCTTGAAAACAGACTTGGCCTCAGGCCTGAGCTTGGGACATTGACTATGTCTCCAATGTAGCTCTTTGCAGTCTCCCCTTTCCAAGGAACTACGATTCTCTTGGTGCAATTGTCATTGAACCATGACTTACTTCCTCCTAGATAGATCCCACTCTTGGTAACTTGCAAAGCTAGCTTCATGTGATTGAAACATTCACAAAGTTGACTCCCAATTCATGGGGTTGGAAACCTATTGTCACTTTCTTCCATATTCAGAGAGGTTGTGCTCCTCTTCCAGACTTTTGAAGCATACTTACCTGCATATATGAATTTGTACTTTGATTCTTAAATAGAGCTTCCTTAACACTGGCAGCTTCACTAGGCATTCCAGACTTCAAAAGACATGAACTTAAAGTTCTAATAGTAACTTCATCTGGTGAACAACCGGTCGCCAACATCTTGTAAAAGATACCAATTGCTTCTGGTGCTCTTCCTTTCACACAATGACCAATAATAAGTATAGTAAACGTCAGTTTATCCGGTTTACATTTGTTCTCCATATCTACCACAATTGCATTAGCTTCATCAACATTACCAGATTTGCAATATCCATCAATGACAGGATTGTAGATAAATGGTCGTGGAACAATGTCACTCTGATTCAATAGTCTTAGAAGCTCACGAGCTTCTTCTAGTCTATTGCTCCTGCACAGAGCACTAATAAGAACAGAGAAAGTATACAAATTTGCAGAAACGTTTCTCGCTTTCATTTCATTCCAAATGTCCAAACCATAGTTCAATTGCCCAACTCGGCAATATCCATCGATTAACAAAGTGAAAGTAACAACATCAGGACAACAACCATGAAAGAGCATCCTCTTATGTATTCCTAGTGTGGACACCATGTCACCTACCTTAACAAATCCACATATAACTGCATTAAAAGTAGCTACACTAGGCTTAGCTCCCGATGTAATCATTTCATCGAAAATGGAAGAAGCCTCCTTCATCTTACTCAATTTACAATAACCCGATATCACTATCGTATAACTCAAAACATTAGGAGCAAACTCGGTTCTTAAACAAATCTCTCTTAATAAATCTCTTGCTCTATCAACCTCATATATTCTACATAAACCATGTATAAGAGTATTATAACTAACAACATCAGGATAACAACCAAAGCTTCTCATATTATTCAGAAATCTAAAAGCCTCTTCAATTTCTCTAGAAAGGCAGAAACCTTGAATCAAAATATTGAATGTGAATATATCTACATCGAAATCGAATCTAGCGAGCTCCCTAAACAAACTAACAGCCTCGTCTAACCTATTACATTTAACCAAAATGTTAAGAAAGTTATTATAAACAACAACATTTACATCAACCTTATTACACAAAGCATCAGCAATAAACTTGTTGGAAACATCAAACCTATGAACAAATGCAAAAGACGAAACCAAGAATCCCAACAACCTACTATCAGGCAACAACCCATCAGACCTCATGGAATCATAAACAAGTTTTGCTGAATTGTGGTGATGTTGTTGACAAAGGGACCTTAAGAGAAAATTGTAAGTCCAAAATGAAGGAGAAAGGTTCAAGCTTTGTTTGGTGAACTGGAAAAAAGTGAAACCTAATTGAGGGTTGTTTAGTTTTTTGATAACTTGTAATGTAAGTGAAGGGGTTAAGTGGTTACTGACGTAAGGAGAAAATGTAGCGTCAGATGAGTTTGTGAAGCGAAGAAAGAGCGTTGAAACGATTTTGACAAACCAAGCTTCGGGTTTGTTGGGTTTGAGGGTGTGGTAGTGGGTGATAAGGGTAGTATTGAAAATTCGAAAAGTGGTGAAGATGAACGAAAATGTCATCACATCACAACAACAAATAGGTTCAACAACGGACTAGATATCCTGTAAAACAGTTCAATTATAAATTTGAGTCAATTAATTGATTTAAAAATTTAAACAAAGTATGAATCTCAAATATAAACTTGTGTTTGTTTCCTATACATACAATGATGCATATTTTCAAGTAACTTTAGCTAGATACATCAAAATATATAGTATCAAAATTTGTTTAAAACACGCTCATTCAAATTAACTGAACAGCTCACAATTTATAGCTTCTTATTTTCATACATATCAGAAAGAAGTTAGAATATTAACTTAACCCTAACCAACAATTTCAATTTGCATATCAGAAGACAAATTAACTGTTGGAACATGTCCATGTTCCAATATGTTGAATTTAAAAATATCTCAAGTCCCACATTGTTAGAATATTTTTTTGGTTGAAAAAACCATTTAGTCTCACATTGCTCATGTGAGAAATATTAACTATCCTACTTCACTATATAAAAGGAGTGCATATGTTTCATTCCAAAACACACCAAAAACTATTCTATTAGTTTTTCCTTTTTCACTCTCATAACTCTGGGTCTCTCGAATTGTCGAAGCGCCATCTTCTTCCCCTTTCTTCCTACTCGTTGAATTTTCCGAGTATTTTCTTGAATTCTCTTTAGAGAATTATGTTAATTTCTCCTCATTTGAGTTGAGAAATTTTCAAGTTTAATCTTTTGGATTCTCTTTGGAGAATTATTTGAATTTCTCTTTGTTAGAGAAATTATTATGAGTGGTCAAATGACCATTATTAATTTCTCTTTGGAGAATTATTTGAGTTTCTTTTTGTTTGAGAAATTATTATGACTGGTCCTTGTACCAGATACTACGAGTGGTGTTGATACCATATTTGAATGGTCTTGTACCATAAGAGGGTGTATTTCTAGACCGATTATCTATCATGCAAGTAGTAATCGTACAGTATAGAACTGGGATGTTTTATCTTGGAAGCGGCGCGGTAGTTCGACTACTTTGCATAATTTTGAGCAGTGCCGCGAAACGTCTTAAAGAGAGCGACCTAGTCCGCGACTCAACCTGGTAATTTCTTCGGTGGAAAATATTCTAAAATCCAAAACCAACAATTTTAAGACATTTCAAACTGCCACGTCTACCGAAGAAATTATTGGTTCTTTTGTGGATATTGTTGTTGAGAAATCGTTCATGTTTGAGAGAAGTCACTTCAAACGTTGGCAACAAAAGAAGAAGTTCTTAATGTTGGAAAAAAATTGCTAACGTTTTGATCGATGACATTCTGTTGCTCCTTCTGGATCAATCGAACAAACTAACGGTAGTAAATCTGGAGATTTAGAAGGAACACTTAATAGTGTTGAAGTTGAATCTGCTGCACAGATTAAAGCGAATGATTTACAGCATAGTAAAGAAATCACCTTATAGAAAGAGAATACAAATCTCTACAAAATCATATTTTGAATAGACTCACAGATGATCTGTATGATAATTACAGTTGATGTGATATTGCAAAAACAAGATTGAGAGACTCAGAAAAAGAAGTATGACGTAGAAGCTGGAGCAAAGAAGTATGTTGTTAGCCGCTACTTCAAGTATCAAATGCGAAGATGTAAGGTCTATGGAGGCTCAATGTTACGAACTTCAAAAGATTGCTTAAAAGATCATCACAAAAGATATGTGTTTAAATGAACAATTTCAAATTGGTTTTATTATTGACAAACTCCCCCACAGTTTGAATGTTTAAAAAAACAAAGAAAAAAGGAATCTTAGAGACAATATCAAAAAGAAAAAGTCTTGGTTGTTTCAAACAACAAAAAGAAATTCGGTGTAGTTCTGAAGCCATTTGGCAAATGATTAAAGAATCAGAACCACAATATTGCGAACCGAATTACGAATGGGAATCCTTCTATGATCCCAATAGCTCCAACTAGGCAACAACCACCACCTAAAAGAAATGAAGTTGGTTTCTCTTTGTTTTAACTATGGAAAATCAAGTCGTATGACTAAGAAATGTAGAAGTAAGGTTGAACTTCGTGTTGTCCCTAATGCACAGGTCAACCTGACTAATGGGCAATTTATTGCTATGGTCATTGAAATCAATATGGTTGATGGATAAGTTGGTTGGTGGATAGACACATGCGTCTCTTGTTATGTCTGTTATGACCATGTTATGTTTAAACATACACGAATACTAAAGATAAGAAAGTGTTGTTGGGAGATGGCCATACCATGAATGTTGTTGGAATTGTAGACATGGAGCTAAATTTCACCTTCAAAAAGACTTTAATCTTAAGGAACGTTATGAATGTTCCTATGATTTAAAAGAATATTGTTTCTGGTTTTCTTTTAAATAAGACATGGTTTAGTCAGTCTATTGGGATAGATTTGTACGCCATTACGAAGAATGGAGTTTATATGTTAAATTTTTTGTAAAGAATTTGAAAAATGATATAATAAGAATTTGCAGTGATAGATAAACTGTATGATTTTAGTTTATTAATGAATTTTATACATGGAATTGTACATGAAATGACTGCACCATACTATCTTGCAATGAATGGTAAAATAGAAAGAAAGAATAGAACTTTTACTGAACATGTTGTTGCAATTATGATGAATTCTGATGCTGCACCTCACTGGTGGGGGAAATTTTATTGACTGTTTGATATGTCCTGAATAGAGTCCCCAAGTCAAAATGTAAGATCTATCCTTATGAGATATTAAAGAAAAGACAACCAAACTTGTCTTATTTGAGAACTTGGGGTTGTCTGACTTATGTCAGAATTCTGGATCCGAAACGAGTTAAAGTCGTTAGTAGAGCATATGAATGTGTTTTCATTCGGTATGCAGCAAACAGTAAAGCATATAGGTTTTATGACCTAAAGGCAAAAGTGATCATAGAATCAACTGATGTTGAATTCTATGAAGACAAATTTCCTTTCAAATTGAGAAATAGTGGGGGCACACAATCGAGTCACATTCATGTAATAAGAAGCACAGAAAGCAACGATAATGTAGAAACATAACTTCAACGAAGTAAACGAGTAAGAGTTGCTAAAGACTATAGGCCTGATTATGCGGCTTATAATGTAGAAGAAGATCCAATGAATCTTCAAGAAGCCTTGTCATCTCTGGATGTTTAGTTATGGCAAGAAGCTATCAATGATGAGATATAATCTCTAGAATCTAACAAGACCTGACACTTAGTAGACTTGCCTCTTGGTTGCAAACCAATCGGTTGTAAATGGGTTTTGAAAAAGAAACTAAAACCTGATGGAACTATTGATAAATACAAGGTTTGCCTTGTTGCCAAGGGTTTTAGACAAAGAGAAA